TCGGCTTAGTCCCTAATTTATCAAGGGTCGCCACAGTGGAATGAACTGCCAACTATTACAGCATACATTTATATATGTGCAGATCTTTGTCATTGCATTGATTGAAAAATATATATATAAATGGCAATTTTTCCTTTATTAAAAAAATATGCAGCATATATATATATATATATATATATATATATATATATATATATATATATATATATATATATATATATATATATATAAAAAAAAAATATATATATATATATATATATATATATATATATATATATATATATATATATATATATATATATATATATATATATATATATATATATATATATATATATATATATATATATATATATATATATATATATATATATATATATATATTTCTCTATATATCCAATCCAAACTTGAACTTGTATCTCATATATGTAATTTGCATATATCACCATACATTTGATTTATTTATAGGAATACTGGGATGTAAACAACAACAAGGATTGTACGGTTAATACTACTGGATATGTTGTTTGCCTATTTATGCTGCCTAAAACACAGGAAAAGCATGTGAAAACTGCTAAACTGTATAGAGAATGACTTAGTAAACAGAAAAGGGTGCAAGACTTTATGGTGGGGTTAGGGGTTATGGTTAGGGTTAGGTGTGCTATAGCAGTGCTTTTTCTTGAAGCGACCTGATTGGTAGACCTTTTCCTTTATTTGAAAATATCGAAAATGTATTTTAAATGTGGGTTAAATTGTTGGCCAAGACAGGCCAAACTTACAAGGCGCACATATTAATTACTAACATCTGGGCCAAATACTACATTTGACATCTGGCCCAAGTATTGTGTGCCGCCTTAAAGACGGTGCCACCTCTGCCAAACCAGGGCCATGTTTGGCCCACATGCTGTATGCCAGTGCCGGATGAATGCCTGCTGTGGCAGATTTACGCCAAATCTGAGCCAGAAATCTTTGCTACCTCGATATGGATGTTTCCCAGTGATGGGTTGCAGCTGGAAGGGCATCCACTACATAAAACATATGATGAATAAGTCAGTGGTTCATTCCTCTGTGGTGACCCCGGATTAATAAAGGGACTAAGCCGAAAATAAAATGAATATATTAAGGAATCAGTTTATTAGGTGATAAACGAAAGGTATAATACATGTTAATTAAGATAGTCAACTAATAATTCACAGACTTGTCTGGAAATGATAATAATAAACATGAATGTTGTCAGAATTCTTGCTTTGGAAACAATGCTTCCGTTCAGCCCACCACAAACACATTTTTGTTCATCCGTTTTACATTTGACAGTCTATGAGTAATGTATTTTCTGATCTGACTGATTAGTTCATCCTAAAACATGACAACATTGATCATCTTCAGAGCAATA